GGGGCGGGGCGGGAAGGAGAGTGGTGGTGATGCGGCTTCATTGGGAAACCGAATTTGCTCCCACGCCGCCGCGGGCTCCGCTCCTCCTTTTTTCCTCCCCGACGCGTCGCGACGCGCCTCTCACGCCCGCCCCTAGGAGCGCTCGTTTCGCCCTCGTAAGGAGATCATGTCGATTAACGAGGTTAGCGCGCGACTAACTCGACGGCTAAGCGAGTTGCGTCGCGTCGACGCTGCCGTGCCGACGCGGCGCCTCCGCGCAACGCGTGGCTGCCGGGGGCCTGGGAGGGGGGGGGCAAACATTGTCTTTGACTCCATATTTTTAGTTTTATTTATTGCTTGATTATTTTGGGTCTGGGTGCGTCAATAGATATGGTCATTAGTTCGGTAAGTGTAGTGCATGTTCTTACTCACGAGAGGAGGCGGAGAGATCTCAGGAGCAGACCTGTACGTTGGCTTGCTGGGTTTTACACATGCAGATACCCCCCACGGCCGGACACTGATCCAGCTCTAATCGCTCAACTAGTCTCCCGACATTCATGGTAGTGTAGTGCATGTACGAGTTAACGTAAGAACAGAGAAAGGAAAGAAAAGATCGCCTGTGATTTCTAGTCTGTGTTCGCTTGCTGTTGAGCGGAGAACCCATTGGGACCTACCGCTCAGAGGAGCTGGGCTCTGGCATTTTCCTCCTCCACGCAGCGGCTGAATATGATCTGGCTGCGTGTCGACAGTCCTGCCCCCTGAGCGGCGCGTCGCAAACCCTAGGACTTCAAGGCCACAGGCGCTGTAGGGACATCAGTCCATGCCCTGGGCCACCTCAGCTGCTTTAATTTGTTTATCAATATACCACGTTTCGGAATGAATGTTACAAACTTCTAGGCCGTACCGAGGTCGAGGATCCTCACTTTTTTCCATTACAAATTTAAAAAATCGCATTAAATGATTTACATTACATTACGCGTTACATTCGCCCCTAATTAGTAGGTAATTCGGCCTACGTGGGAGTTTATCATGTAACGATTAGTCGAACTCAAATTGGAATACTTTTCCGAAACTGCGAAACATACAGCGCAGAAGTATAGGTATGCACATATTTTAAACATTGCTCTGTGATTTCTGATACTCGAATCTGTAGCCAAATTGCATTTTTTTCAATTCTATTATTCTCTGGGCAACATTATGTAAAGTAAACACTTCAATGTTCTTCATTTTCACCCACTTTGTTCATGACATAGTTCTGCAACCAAAAAGCTGTTTTCAGAATTTTATCTGATGCTAATTTTTTTGGGTGAGTCTAATTGAAAATGACAACAGTTCTTTCCTACGACGTCAGGCACAGCTTCTATGAAATATTATCTAGAAAGTACAGTATTAATTTTGGCGGATAAGGTCCTGTTGTCGAGAAAATGGAATAATTTGATCCAGATATTAAGATATCAAGATATTAAGAATTTCCTAATAAAGTTGAAAAATGTGCTCTGTCTCGGCGTTTATGCATTCTATTTTGAAATATGTTATTTTTTAATATACATATTTGTTTTGTTAATATTTTGTGGAATTTTCTTAAAGATGTTTCATTTTTTACTTCAATTTTTGAAATATTTGTTTTTACTTCATAAAATTTATAGAGCTACTTTAATACTTTTCAATATTGTTATAAGTATGAAATAACAATACCTAATCATCATTCAATTCATTGATTTAATTTATGTCATTTAATAATTATTTTAGTTATTATAACAGCATTAAGGGTAGTCTCCTCACAGAGTTATGAGATAATTTTTTTCTCTCATTGCAGATATAAATATTTTTTGCAAAAATTATTAATTTAATACGATATCCATATATTTTAAAACTCAGAGCTCTTGTTTAGAAATAAATTTGAATCTTCAATCACATTTTCCCCAAGAAATTCCCAATTCCTAAAGAAAATGTTTTCTTTAACTGAAATGGGGCGGACCCTAGATGAAAAGATGACTTACCCTTATTAAATATCTAAACTAATCCTTATAACTATTATTAACTAGGAAGTTGTAATAATTGATAAAGTGTATGGAAAAAACGTCTATCTGCCGTTATTTGGTCAATAGATCGTTATGAAGACCATCTACAAACAATACAAGGGTAGCCTTACATGATGAGATTATAGTTGGTGAAGCAAAGATACTGAGCGTTAATTTAAAGTGCAAAGGTTAGTGAGTGTTTATTAAAAACCTAATGACCAGCAATCACATAACATGTTTTCCTTTAGAAAAACATTTTCAACGTTTATAATTATGCATGAAACGTGGATAGCAGGAAATCCTACAATAATCCCCAACAACATAGGTAGGTAAGGTTGCACAAGGACACAATTGCACATTTCTATTATATCTTCATATTTCACTGTGTTCACAAAGAACAGTTTTTGTATTGTTATGGAATTTGTAAACTACTCTCATTTCATTAGTTTTGGAGAATAAGATTGATAGGAAAACAATATTTGGTATTTTCAATATTCCATGAAGTGCACATATGCACATCCCCACTGTTCAGTACTTTTCGTTTGTAACTTTTCTACAGTTGTTTTTGTGCTATGCCATTGCAGAGATTCAGGTAGTATTAAATTATATCTAAATCATGTGTTTAAGTTTAAATCAAATGTTTTAGATTGTTTTCATTTGAGCACAAGGTATTTTTAAATATATTTATGTTAAAATATTAATAACAGATTTTGAGTTTTCACAAATACCAGATCATATCACACCACAATTATTTATAAACTATTTATGTTAAAAATTATTGTGGAATCACCAAATTTTAAACTTTTATAATTAACATCAACATTAATTCCATCTGTTCAATTGAACAGCTTCTTAATTTTTTGAAAAAGACATTTCATATTTTTTGAATAATGATGTTGATGATAATTATTCACTACAAATATGCTGACCTATGTAAACAACATGTTTTAATAGACTTTCATTAATAACACATAAACATTTTGGTTCCATAATTGTTGAAATTATTTTTATATTATCTAAGAACCCTACCATCAGTCGCCTCTCATCTTCTTATTCTCCAACAAAACTCAGTCCCTTTTAGCCTACACATTATTTTACTTTTACAACAACCAGTAGATGTTCCTTGTTTCATTTTCAATACTTTTTATGATTCATGAAACATATTAAGAATTAATTTAATCAATAAATCTCTGCATTAAGTTATAAATTTTCAAAACATACAATTTTTTAAATTCCTTAAGTTCGATTCTTTTAAAACACGTGTATTTATATTGTGTAATATACTTAATACTCTAGATACTAGACTGAATACATTTTTTTTTCTTTTTGTTTCCGTTTGCATTGAATTAACATGGAATTAGTGCGTAGTGAACCTTTGAGTAGTATAAGGTAAAAACCATTCACTTAAATTTATAATATTATTACCAAACTATTGGATATGCAAATTCAATACTACTGAAATGGTGTGCAATTTTTAGATCTGATTCAGAATTCGGACAGAGATTATAATTTACAGTTACTGAATGATAAACTATCCTACATCTTTTAGTTATTGTTTCGAAGAAGGCACTGGCATTTGCAGACTACATTAAGCTAATAGCAGTTTTGCACAACCATCAGACATCACGGGGTAAGTGAAATTGTGCACCAACTTCTATATAAAACCATAGATAATGTTAACAATTTTGCAGCCAGTTGTACTGATGAGATTGATTTATTTGCAGACTCTATTTCCTATATTTGTCATTCTGCGAAGAAATATTTAGCCACCATTACAAACTAAGAGTTATTTTTTGTATTTGTATAGTTGTAATTGGGTATATCTGCAGGCTTTATCTACATAAATAAATATACTAACATATAGATGCGTATAGACTGATACACAAGTTTTGCTTAGTAATTGTTTATTTATTAATTAAAATCTCTACATATCTTCATGACAAAATTAATTGAGCATTTAACATCTCACTGACATAAACGATAGGAAATATTCAAGGCACTCAATACCTTATGAGATATCAAATATATATATTTCCAAATTTTTCAAACTAGTGTAAGTTCTTTCCCAAAAATATTATATATATTACATAAAAATTAAAAAGAAAGAAAATAGTAGGGATCTCTGTAACATGATTGTTTTTTATTCTTAAGAGAGATCAAGAAACACCATATAGTGCAAACAACTTTGCCAACTTTCACTGTCTTGTGAATACCTTCATTTGCTCTTGCATACTCTTCTTTTTACATAATAGAAATAATTATGTACCAACTGAATTCTCACAACAACAGCTGTTCTCACAGTATATAATTGTGAGACAGTGCTACAGACTTAGATAATGCTTCAGAAAATGATTTGATGTTCTCTTCATATACTTTTCTTCCCTTGAACTATCATCTTTAGTATATCTGCCCAAAAGAGTGATTAAAAAACAGCATTTGCTCTGACAATGCTTATTCAATGCATGATAGGGGCAAGCTCAGATTAAATATTATTGTTTAATTAGTCACTCTCTTCCTTGTGAACATCTGCTTGGGTTTTGTTCAAATTGACATCTCTATCTTCCGTCTTTTTCTCTGGTTTTCGAGACATCTGGGCATGAGAACTTGAGTTTTCTATTCCATTTTGAGGCACGTCCAGCTGAATATCTTCCATATTATCATCTTCCAGAAATCCAACCTGAAACGTACAACACAAGAATTTGTAATTTGCATGGTACTGTTTTTAATGAATAACTGGAATACTATTTCCTTTCTTAAAAATTATTTTCAAATTTATAGGTAATATCCTGTCCTGTGTTTTGGCTCGACAACCCGATGCGGGAATTGGCCGAAAAACTTACAGGTAATATTGGCAGGAAATTTGTTCTTGTCTGAAGTCAAAAAATATATTCCAAGCCACTAAAGCGAATGCGTATAAGTGTGATTATATCATTCTGAATATTGGGCTCTAAAAAAGAAGACCCAAATATTACAAGAATGGGAAAGTAAGATATAGGAGTTTATGGCCCTGTCATGAAAACGTAATCAGAGAATTGCAATAATTTTAACCACAAAAACTGTTATCTTAGTATTATTCCATGCATCAAGATGTGAAGGCGAGAATGGAATCCAACGGCGCATTCTAATGCGAAGTTTTTTGAGAATGGGTGGACGAAGAGCACCCCCACACAAGAGATGAAGGGAACACAGCTGCTATGGGGCATTGAGAGAGGGCAATTTTCAGATAAAAAGATGACATTGGAGAAAACACAGTGAAACCTGCTGATGGAGCCGTTTCGCTTAAGCGGTGACTCCATTTGAAAAGATGCACAGACTCTGACAGCAAGGTCCTACGGTTGCGAGTCCCAGCGGTGGAGGATTTCCATCACTAGCTGCATAGGTGGATTGAATCCAGTCTCTGCCTAGAGGAGAATTCTAGTGGCCGGCTGCTCTGACCGGTAGTTTTCCTACCATCAATAACAAACAAATGCAGAAACAGTACCCTACGACACGGGCCACCAACCGCCCTCGGTCTTCTCTTCCTCTTCCTTGCCCTCTTTTCTTCCCTTGCATCACGCACTTAAATTGATACACTACACTACCACACGGGCCGGACCGGGGCGGTCCTCCGCTGGGGGAGATACCGCCGCCTCGCGAGATAATCTACACTCATGTGAGTAAAGACCATAGTAGTTGACGCGACTGTTAACACTAGTAACCAACCAATCCATTCTATTCAGTGATGCCTTCCTTATTTTATGTTGCGAGGCTCAGACCATAGACTCTACTCTTCCGCCTGACCGCAGAAATTCCGCAACCCTCTTTTCGGTATCTAGCAGAGACCGACAGAATCACTCAGACGTCGCAACAAACGATTTCATTCAGAGGCATCTCTTAGGGCTGAGAATATTTTACATGCAATAAATATATAACATGGGACAGCAGGCTTTACTTTCCGCCCGAAGTAAGGCGTACGAAAAATGTTTGTCGTTCCGAAATCGATCGAGTTTGAACTCGCGAACTTGGGTGTAACGGTACGTTACGCTAATCGTTGCACAGCCGAAGTCCCAATACGAATATCACCGAAACCGCCGAAATGAATACCTAGTAACAACCAATTCCAAATATTGATTGGTTGATTGAGTAGTTTCCGGGTTAGTTAACTACAAGATTATTTGTCCCTTACGTCTAGTGCATGTTTTATCGCTTGTAGCAGCGGTGATATTCCCCCACTGGTTAGTGAGATCGGCTTCGACCAACGCGTCGGTATGAAGGGTTTTCCCCAGCCAGATATATCCATCCAGCGTGGCACCGCCTGAGCCGGGACAATCTCCAAGCTCCCGACATGTGTGGTAGTGTAGTGCACGCAAGGGTGTGTATGTATGGGGTGAGGATAGAACAAGAAAGTAGAAGGAAAGAACGCGCAAGGTCCGTGGCCCGTTTGGTAGGATATTGCTCCTGTGGTGTTGATCGGAAACACCAAGGAGAACTACCCATCAGAGCAGGTGGCCACTAGAATTCTCTTCCAGACAGCGTCTGCATTCGACCTGGCTCTGTGTGTAGCTAGAGTCGAAAATCCTACCATCGACGAGACCCCTACCCCCGATGCGAGGCACAACAGTGGCCTCAGTTGCGATCCCGCACGACCTTGTCTGTTTTCCAAAAAGGCAGCGGGGGGTACGTACGTGGAGGCGATTGGTAGAGGTGGCGGCGGCGGCGGCTGCGGCGGGGCAGGCGGAGGAGGTGGAGGGCCCCGGCTCGTCCTTGTACCGCCCCTGCTCGCCCTTCGCCTCCTTCTTCAGGCCCAGCGTGCGACGCAGTAGTGACGCGGACTTCTTCTTCATGGCTGCCAGCGCGCCCTGCCACACACGATTTTAAGCAGTCTCAACATTTCACTGCTAGCCCACGCACCTGCTGCTCAAAGAGACAGATTCATGAAAAAATTCCGACCTTTTTTTTAACTCAAACTAAGTCTATTTGTTTTTGGGGAATTGGATTTGGAGGTTTGTCACCTCGAAAAATGTCGTTTATTTAAACACAGATTTTAATAAATACCTACAGTTCTAATTTTATTAAGTTAATCGCAATGATCTACATATACAGTATTAAAGTTGACACAATTCTCTACAAGATTCAAACTACAAACTTCAATTTTTTTAAACTCTTTTAGGCGCTAGAGTGCTGATAAACTGCTTTTTGTCTTTCTGACCGATTAAGGAGAAAAGCTCTCTCGCGCCCTATAATCTCGCGACGGCGCTTTAGTTCATTCGAGCAGGATACACCACTGTATTATGATTAACAAAACATGACATAAACAGAGAAAAGGGCTGAGACAATTTGTTCCATGGAGTGCAATAGGCCTACGCTCATATAATACTTTCATAAAAAATATGATCTGGACTGCGCGAAATTGTGATGTAAAATAAACATAAATTTAAAGAACAAATTTCAAGTATGAAACAAAAATGTAGGGTCACATAGGTCCATAAATTGTTTGCAAACTACGTTGACGAATAGTGATGGGCGAGTGCTAGACAAGGAATGGTGGAAAACGTGAAACTCACGAGTGATTCGGCGGGCGCGCGGCCGCTCTCCTTCATCTGCTGCTGCTGCTGCTGTTGCTGCTGCTGCTCCTTGTCGCGCTTGGCCTTCTTGCGCTCGGCGAGGGCGGCGGGCGGGCGCGCGCGGAACACGGCCATACGGCCCAGCGAGCAGGCGTTGCGCGACCCGGGCTCCGGCCCCGCGCCCGCGCCCGCGCCCGCGCCCAGCGCCAGCCCCGCGCCCGCCGCCATCGCCACGCCCGCCGCCGCGCCCAGCGGCACCACCGACGCCGCCGACGCCGTCGCGGGCGCCGACGCCGGCGGCCCTGCCACCGCGCGCGCCTGCGTCAGCCTCCCACCAGAGGGCACCGCCCCAGCCGGGGAACGCTCTGCGCTCCCGACTGCTCTCCCAGCATGTGTGGTAGGGTAGGGCATGTGAGAGCACGTGTGTAAGAGGTGAGGAGCGGACAATGAATGGGAAGAAAAGATCGGTACTGATCCGTTATTCACTTGGAGTGTATTGTAAAAACCACCTGAGAAAACTACCGATTAGAGCAACCGGTTGCTAGAACTCTCCGCCAGACGGTGACTGAATTCGAACTAGCTATCTTGCTACTGTCAAAAATCCTGCCAACTTCGGGACTGGAACCCTATGACCTCCCGGTCAGAGGCTCTGCAGTGAAATCAATCGATACCCCGAGCCACTCAAGTCTACAGACCAAGTCTTTAATATTCCACAAAAAATGTACAAATAATAAGCGAATGCCATCCACGTAATTTCTGCACGACTCTTAATAGAGCTAGGAATCCTACCATTCCATTGGCTATTTATTTATGAATCGGTATTTGTCGTAAAAACTGACTCACTTAACGGTAGGAACATATTTTCATGAAATACTAATATTTATAGTTACAACACGTCGAAGAAATTGTATTCATGTCAGTATCAATAGCTCATTACAAGAATTCAACATTTAATACACATACATTACTTTACAACACATTGCCAGATGACATTAAACATTTAAAACTTATGCAAAAGTTAAGATAAAATGTAGAATATTTTCTGCTGCATGTCTAGTTCTATACAATTGAAGAATCTATACAACAGTTAACATTTGCATTGTATAATTTTAAAAAGACTCCATACACCTCTAGCAAGTAATGAACTTCAGACAGCACTACGCGCATGTTTTAATTATATTTATCTCCACTTTTTTTAGGTGTGGTAGGTGTGGTACGAATCAAATTCGAATTTCCTTTACCCTTAGTAAATCACGCTGTTTGTCACACAAGTACCCGCACGCCATACTTCGTACGCGAAGTTGTTTTTTTAAGAAAAGTGAAAAAAGGTCTGAAAAATATTTGGATATGGTTTTTCTTTAGTTTCATTTGAAATGTTTATTACTATTTTAATTAAATAATAATGATAAATTTAGAATATTAAGCTCCAGAAAAGTTGTTGTTTACGTCCCTTGCATGCAAATTTGTTGCACGAGTTACAAATAATTGTATGTGTTTTGCTCTTCCACAAATGTGACAGCAATTTCTCAATGTTGATGGTGGTCGTTCTTGTTCATCACGACTTCCTGTTTTTTATGATCTTGAAGTAGTGACTTCACTGCCAATTGTAGTGAGAAAATTTCTGCGCTACGCTCAAAGTAATTTTGCTGACAATCGGTGGTTTATTCTATTTTGCGTACCTTTCATTTACCAATCACGGAATCACTACACTCTGCTTGAATAATCACTAGTCCAATGTAGCTCAGAATTTCAAGAAGCCCTCAGAATTCCAAGTATTCCAAGCGGCCCGCGATGCCATTTTTTGTGGATTGCGAAAGGTTATTAGTCAAAAGTGAAAGTCCTGGAATCCATATCGGCCGCGAACATTGTGTATCTAGCGCACGAGCCCTCCGGGGTAAACACCCAATTTAATGTAAAAAATTTAGACTGAAGAATTTTTTTCTATTAAATTCAGATATTCAAAATCATTCCGATGTTTTTCACTCAGTTATGCATGGTACGAACTGGTATCACATATGGTTCCACCGACTCCCGTTTCAAAGCAGCCAGGCAAACTGCCGAGATCAACAACGGAGGGAAGTGAAGTGTGGATCGCCCCAGTGATGAAAATATGGTCCGCGACGCATATTTCAGTTGTGGCCTTTGAGACCTGCCGATATAGACACTGCAATAAATTTTACGCAACTGAGTATAGAGGGAAAAAAAGTTTTCAATACTTCCAGAGTGAAAATATCTAGGCTTCAACTTGTTTGTAGCTGTTGAATTTTGTTGCTAACCTCGCTTCGTTGGTACTTTTATTCATCATTCAACTATTTATGGGAATGACGGAGGCGAAGAGATTCTGGAGCTCGAGAAAGTGAGTGCTGAATTGTACTTCTCCCCTATAGAGTTGTTACTGTTCGAAGAAAATAAATCAAATGAAACGTCTTGTGCTACTTACAAAGCAATGATCTCCAGGTGGCAACGCCCAAACAAGTTGTGCGTTTTCCTCTGGCTTGGGGTGGTTCTACGGTTAATTTGAGAAATAATGTTTAAAGTGAGAGATGAAATTTTGGCTCCAAGGGGAAACGTTAAAGAAACTAGAAGGGACTGCACGGCATAATGAATTATTGTCAATAGTTATTACTCAACAACTACTCCTTTTTTAAAAAAAAAAAAGTACATGACATCATTTAAAAATTGAGTTGAAGGATGAATGCAATGAAAAAGAAATCTTTGGCTTTAATTTGCAAGTGAAGGAAAGATTTAAAACTAAATTTGAACTTCGCAATTTTCAAAAAATATTATAAATTTTAACAAAAATAAGAACTAAACTGTTTTTATTAACGACTCTCATCTCCTAAACTTTTAAAAATGTTACATAAAAAATTGCATCAATTTTTCTGATTTTTTTTTTTTTTTTTTTTTTGAAAATGTCACGTCTTGTAAATGACTGCCAGACAGCAAAATATTTTGATATTCGAAAAGGCACCACTAGATCTTACTACTGAAGTATTTTCCAAGTTTGAACTCAACCGTTTTTAATCTGAGTTAAGCGTGGCACATTCTTTGATACGTACATTCATCCTTCTGTTGCAGTAGGTTCTTTTGAAATGACAGTGCAACAAGTTTTAACTTTGTGTCTTGGCGCGAGATGAAAGTGTGTGTTCGTTACTTCGTTACTAAATCACATGCGCTGATTGCGGAAATGAAATCAGAAATGTTCCATCACGTAACTTTTTTTTTTTTTTTTTTGGAAAAGATACGCCATATATACAACTTTCGAGAAACTTAGAAACGTCTCAGTAACAATACAGAAGGAATTTGTAGTTGATCAATTTACAGATCATATTTCGAAATTTGTTAGTATTATTTTTTTGTGTTAGTAATTGTTTTAAATGAACCTTGAAATGTACTTAGCAGTTTGATGTTACTTTTCCTGAAAACCTTCCTTTTGTGGGTGGATGGTGAAACTTCTTGCAGAAGCGTCCACCAGTAATTCGACAAACGATTTGGTGAACATCTTTTATATCGACTTTCCATGGCATCGTTATCTTTGTGAATTAATATACTCCCTACTCTTGGCTGAGTATAAGAAGCACGCGAACACACATAAACCATATTCTTCACGTAACGACACTTCAAGAACAGATACCGTGTGATCTCACTATCGATTGACTGATGCATCTGCAACTTTCTTTTGCCTACCATCTTCCCACTGTATCCCTCTTCCCACTCAACTCACACCACTAGGCAGTAATATTCCTAAAATAAAATAAAGTGATAAGTTAGTATATAAAGTAACATATGTTTGTTCTGCGGCAAATTGCATTGTCGTACTGTGTAATTTGCACACACGTCGCCTGTACGAGTATTAACACCTTGAAAGTAAAGGCTCAATGAAACTGGGCCAATAATTTTCTTATATGATAAACCAAGAAAATCGTTTCCAAATGTTTTCATTGGGAGGAAATTATAAATCATTGTATGTATTACCTCCTTGGTTGGGGCATATGAATACTTTCTTAGCAGAGATCTTTAAAAACACAGCGAAGTCCCTCACTTAAACATCCTCCAGACAATTAGCACCTTGTGTTATTATTAAACCCAATTATGTCAGTTTACGTTTTTAACTATCAATTAAAATATTTAACATAATATAAAGTACAACAAAATATATCTTTTATATATGTTACATGAGTTAAATTTGGATTTTAGAGCCGATAATTGTATTTCTAAAACCTTCAACATGCTGACAACTATAAAAACATCAGCCTTACTGTCTAATACCTTAACATTCTACTACATAATATTGTATAGGGCCTTCACGTTGTGCGTTCGTCACCTGCCGGGTAGCGGCGCGCGGCGCCCAGCCCCAGCGCGAGGGCGGGGGCGGAGCGCTGGGCGGCGGCAGCGCGCTGCGGCGGCGGGGGACGTATGGTAGGCTGGCGTGCACGCGCGAGCCTCCTATGGCCTCCCCATGCCGGTGGAGGGCACACCCCGCTTGGAGTGGTCCGTGGTGAGATGTGCGCCTGGGGCTGCGCGTGGAACTGAGGGCCTCTCCCGCGGGGCATTGGCCTGGAAGTGGCCATGGCGGAGGGCGCAGAGCAACTCGAACCGGACTGAGTCAGCGTCCCAGGTCGGTCGAGCAGCGGGCCGATGACAGGTGCAGGCAGACGCCACCAGATATGACGGTGACTACGATCGCTTAGAGCACACACAACAAGGCCCGTTTCTGTCCCGCCAGTCAGTCGCGCCGCTGGCAACCAGTCCGCCGACCCGCCTTCTGAGCGGGAGCCGCGTAAGTGCATCTGTCGCGGCCTGGCGGAACCGCTCGTGTGAGACCAGGGTCGGCCGGTCGGTCGTGCGTCCACTGCCAGCGGCGGGGTATTGCGCGGACTTATCGGAGACAGGCAAAAATCTTGAAGTCCACAGGAGGTCCCCGTCGCAATAGGAAACCTAGAGGTGTGGTAATCGACAACATAGTGTAGCTTTCTCCTCAGCGACGTCGCCGCACCTCCCACCTATCTTCACCTTTTCCCTACACCCTCACATTCTCTTCACTCGGGGCCGTCCGTCTCTCCTCGTCTTCCAGCGTCCTGTTAGCATCCTTTGCTCCAGCCCTGGCCGGTGCCACACGCCCCATAAACAGTTCTTGGCAACTCGACACACACAAGCCTAAAATGACCAACAGCGAATACACCCCGCGTTCGCCTATATAATTCTAGCTGGCTATTTATCAGTTACTC